AAAATTCAAACCTTACTATTCATTTTCCAAAATGATGCATGTTATAATTTTTTTAATTTATGTAAAATTTATAATATTAAATAGACTTACTTATTTAATAATATGTAAAACTTGTAGCAAAAAATGAAATAAATACTTTTTTTTATAAAGATAATGGTTAATAAATTAGTTTTATTAGTTGTTAATAATTGAAAATTTTATCTTCAGATCCGATGAACATTTCATCTCCCTCGATAAGATCCGCGACCCATCAGACTGCTTGGTTGAATTCAAAACAAACACTTTACTTTCTCTTTACAATGTTTTTATCCAGGGATGTTTGTTTTAGTCACTTTCAGAAAATTTATAATTTGTTGGCTTTAATTAATTGGGATGGATATTTTTAATGGTTTTTTTATTTATACCTTAATTTATATGAAAAATAAAATTTTATTTTATTTTTAATATTAATATTAAATTAATAATTTTAATTAAATAAATAATAAAATTGAAATAAATTTTTATTTTTTATAATAATTAATAAAAATATAATAAATATACCCTTAATTATTACCCTTAGTACATGTGTTGAAATTAACTTCTAGTTTAATTATATATAAACTAGGGGCGGCAACATTCCTTGAACCTTGTCCTGGGAGTAAGGTATGAACTAGTGGCACCTTTTCTCTTCGTAAATTTCATAAAAATTTTTCCTTGCCATGATAGGAATCTTATTTCTCATAAAATATTAAAAACAAGAGAAATTTATCCAATTCAACTCAGTTTAAATATTTAACTTATAACTCATTATTCACTCTTAATTTTACCTAAACATTAAAATCTAATTATTTTAAACTAAATCTAAAATAACACTTTTTTACCTTAACCCAACTCTTTAAATTATTTTATTTTAAAATAATTAAATTATTTTTATAATATGTATTTACGAGGGAAGGAATCTCCATGGGGACACATTTTCCGCGGCTAAAGGGAGGAGACTACTCCAAACAAAAATCTCCATGGAAGGAGATTAAAAATAAAAAAAGAAACTTCCTTGAAAAATCACCAACCAAAGAAGAAGCCCAAGGAGATTAAAAAGGGCGTCACAAAAGAGTAGATTGAAACAAAACCTTCACACGATTGGGCTTAAGGTCATACTACTAAACACATTTCGAAAGATTTGGGCTGGGCCAAACAGGGGAGATGGGCTAAAAGGAAACTATCAATTCAGAGCTAAAGGGTCCGAGCCCCCTAAGCGGCCTGTGTCAGATCTTAGAGCATGCAAATAATTCCTCCAGACTTCACTGTTGAAAAAAAAAAAAGGAAATATGTTTCGCCCTTCTTCCTTAGGGACTGCAAAACACTAGTCTGCAGCCTCTCTGATAGGGTTCCCATGGGCCATTATTAAACACCCAACTCTAACAAAAATCTGCAGAAGATTGTTTCAGGAGTTATATTATATTCCATTCTTGGACTGAATTCTGAATATCTTATGTTGCAAAAAAATAGAGTTCTGACGGCTGAATCCTGATGTATTAACCAAACATCTGAGTCTGAGATCTATGATAAAAATTCTGCCTAGAAAACAAAAGTGGAATGCATTGAGATAGGAAAATTTCATTTACAAAGGGTGAGGAAAAGGAAAAAAATAAAATAAAATGAGAGCCCTTTTTCTGATTCTCTATCAATTCCATTGTATTACACGCCTGAGGATAAAAGAAACTAAAGCCTATTGGCTATTGATGAACTTGGTTTGGTAAAGTTTGTGGTGTCTTTCTAAACACATGTTTTCTGCAACGTTCGAAAATGCTGTCATATATCAGATCAAATTGAACTCCTGCTCTTTCCCGGTTTACAATGAACAATATGTGATCAGCTTCTACGATCTTGTAGTACCTGCATCCAACAACACAAGTTAGATTATACAAAGATGGCTCAGTCAATGCGGATATGAAATATGAAAGAGCTAGGTAGTTTTTTCAATATGGCAATGACCCCATCACTTCACTGCCATCAATTATATAGCTTGTTATCATTCTTAGGTTTAGTAAAATTCCAAATGGCTGGAATTAGATGTTTTACATTGATCAAAGGTTTGCAATGACCCATCAATGGCATTAACCGTTCTCCCTGAAATGTTTATATGAAAGAACCGCAAAATTTATCCATACGTCTCTTTTTCATCAATGAACTTTAGACTGCATGAAATTAACAGTTTACCCAACTCTCTGGTATGTAAAAGCTGGTAAGGAGTATAACTAACCAGATTCCTGGCTGCAAGGGCTGGCAATCGGAATCATTCACAATAAACCGGTTTGGATGTTCAACTGGAAGACGAGGGTGAGTTATGGATACGGTGTTGAGAGCCCCATCATTGTCCTGCCAATCCTCATCCCTGAATAAAAAATATAGAAGAAGGCACGGATCAGGATCTGAGTCAGTTCAAGTCCCTAGATACATTGCATCCACATGCAATATTTTCACAAAACCAAGACAAAAAGACAGTACTTGAATTATAGTTTTATAAATGGATATTGAAAATTCTAATTTCTAAATCTTTAAAAGAATAATAATTGCAAAAATTTCGATCAAGGAGTTTCTGGCAGTCTACACAATTGCATTGGTGAAACCAGTAAACCATTACAAAGTTCTAAGGGCAAGTGGAGATTCTGTCCAAGTACCAATACATGATAAACTAAAAGAGTTGAAAAAAAAATTTTCATTAATGTTTTGTCCATGTTAAAATCCAGAGCATTTCAACGAAAGCATAGAAAAGACTCAAATGAAGATAAGTTGGGGCAAACAATATATGTAATCTAAAAGCATACCTGTAGCCTTTGTAAGGGGGAGAAACATCTGAAGGATGACGCCACTGGCTCATCTGCAGCACTCTTATAAACAGCAAAGGATGTATTCCAAATATGCTAGAAGGAACCGTGACACCTAGGATCTTCCTTGTCCGCTTGGTAGCATAACTGAAATAGAATGTGTTGGCAAATGTTTGAAGATGGCTGTTAAGTTGTATTGAGCCTTGAATTGTAAGATCAGGGAGGATCCAATCCCCTGAAGCAAATGGTCCTGCTTTTCCCAAGAGACAATCAACAAGACCCCAAAGACCGATTTTCTTCCACGACATGTTAAAGTGATCAAACCCAAAATTGTAGTAAGACTTTAGCCAGGGAATATCCAACCAATCATAAATTATAACTCCCACACGGCACAGCTGCAGGAGACATATAGGCTTCAAAGTTTTCCCATCCTCTGGCCTGCACCAAATTTGAATCATCAGACAAATTTGAGGAATATAGACTGTTTGGTGCTTGTGGAATTGAAGATCTAATTATCTTTCATCAATATAAAGAGATAATACAGTATGATGGAAATGAAATGTCGTCCAAGTGTCAATGTTAATGTAATTCCTAACTCTAGTGACAACATCTGGGGCCAATAGTTGAAACTTTATTGCTGAATCATTCATCCACAAAAATTGAAGCATGTCCCAACTAAAGAATACTAAAACTGAAGCTTCAAGTGGCATAGGAAAGAAGAAAGTTTAAGGAGACTTACTGCATGCCATCTAAGTAGGTTCTTGTAGTCCCATTAAAAGCCCCAGATAACGATGTTATGCTCAGTACCCAGTTTTCTGAAGTGTTCTCATATCCCTGGAATGCCTGAAAAATCATCGCAAACTTATATTCAATGCCAACAATTCAATAAGGAATTACAGTTCATTGTGCTGATTACAAACAACAAACCGCTCCAACCTTGTCAGCAAGCATTTGCTGCAACACACGCACAACCTGAGCACCAGCTGAATGTCCAACAAAGTGAATAGGATGATCCTCATCCCATTCTGGGTAATGCCCTGCATCCAGATTAAAGAAATCAAATACGAAATTCAATCATGGCCATCAAATCTTCAACAGAGAAGGGGGAAAAAAAAAAACACAAATAAATAACCCAAAAATATTGAAAATTAACTCACCTTGTTCATAAATTCTTCCAAACTGGGAGTGCCCACAAGCCTTGCTGTGTTCTTCACCATAATCAACTTGCCCTCCTTTCAAATAATAGAATAACTCACGAGCCCTGAAACCCAAAACCCATGTGAGATTTCCTAAACAAAAAGCAAATCTGAAGAAGAAATTGAAATTGACAATCCTTCAGAATCTAAGCGGCAGGGCTTTATGCTTCAAGCAAACTACCTATCGTATATGCTGGTTAATGACCCCAAATCAGGCACAAGAACCCTCTCATCTTTCTTCTCCGCCCCTGCAAAATAAGATAAACCTCCCAATCTCTGTCCACCAAGAAGAAGAAAATCAAAAGCCCAGATAAGAAAATCGAAACCCATACGGAAGAAATAGAGCAAAATGAAAGAAAACAAAAAAAATCGCCGTACCCCTTTTCCAAATCCAAAAATTCCATGAACCATAACGATTGGAGGCAACCCGCCAGCATTGGTCGTCGCCCCTGCCGGACCCTCCTCCTTCACCGCAATGTTCACGTTACTTTTGAAAAACAATTCATTCAGAGTCTGGGAGAGATCCCCGGCCACCGCTGTGCTAAATATGTAAAACCCATATAACAAATGCACCAAAGAACTCACAAAAAGCTCGGTCAATTGCAGTGCAAAAATCCCCCATCTTATCATCTCACCAAAAACCATCCAAAATCAATCACAAAAACAGAGCCTCCCCAAATCCCAAAAGCGCACAAAAATGGGTCTTGGCCTATTCTCAGCAATACTTAAGCCCTCCTATGATATATCCACCATAGAAGGGCAAAATGAAGGTCTGAGAATTAGGCAACTGGTTTTTTCTCGCAGTTTCTTCTAGATTTCAAAGATTTGAAAAAAATAGGTTTCCCACGATTACCTCATTCCTCATTTTCTGAACCTATCCTCCAACCAACCAAATGCATGTTATACATTCATTTTCGTCGTCTTTTCCATTGCTGGGGCCGGAGAAAAAAGGGGCAGTGGGTGGGCGCCACGTGTCCTGCGTGGCAGTCGTCGGCTCTGTAACGTCTCCCCACACCACAATCTTTTTCAGGATGGACCCGCCTATTTGTAGTTGATAACAATCCAAGAAAATTTTCGAAATATTCCTATGAATTAGCGGCTTACATCGGAGATTTGAAGGGAAAAAGGATGGAATTTAGGGATGGAAAATATTGAGGTATAAAAAAAAGAAGATTCCAGGTGTTTCGTTCGAGGTCTGTTCATGTGCTGGATTTGAGCTGGAAGGTTCTTGTCCAAACCAACCATATTTTTCTTACCCGTTTATTCATGTTTTTTTGTAAACCAGGCGCCTGTAAAGGAGGGTGAATCACACGCTCACACAATATAATAAATTAAAAATAAATTAAATATATAATAAATATATTTTTTATAATTAATTTATATAAAAAATTAAAAATTATTTTTTATTTTAACGTCCTTGTGATATAAATAGTTTTAATTAGTTAAATGATTAAATTCATGTCAACTTTTGTTATTGTTTATATACATTAATTATAAAAAAATATATTTATTATATCTTTAACTTATACTTTAAAGTTTAGATAGATAAATTATATTAAAAAAATAATTATTGATAATTATTTAAATAATTTAGTAGTTATTTTTTTAATAAAAATAAAAAATTTTAAGTTTAAATCATATAACATGTATACAAAATAAGTTAGAAGATAGAAAAGAATTATCTTTCATAAACAAAGATAATTTTTACAATTTGATGTATGAGAATTGTTAAATTTAGGGCTTGTAATAAGATTCAACTCAACTCTATATATGTAGGGGCTATGACATTGCAATTCACTCAAGAATGAATTGTAAAATAGCTTTCCCAATATTAGTGTATGGTATATTATAAAATAAAGTTTTATAATCTATTTTTCATGACTAATTATGAATCATCTCTATTTATTAAGTTCTCAAGAGTTTTTGAGCATCATCATACCATATCTATTTAGCTTTTAAGGCGTTTTTGGTTGCTCAAAAACTCAGAAGGAAATTCTCCACAATCCATGACTTACTCAGCCATGGCTTGTACGTGAAACTGTTTTTGAATTACTGGTGTAAACTCTTCTTTGTCTTAAATTAATTATTATTTTTTTATTTTAAAACTATCTTAAATTAATTATTTTTTATTTTTTAAAGTAAATAAATATTTTTTTCTATTTCAACTCTATTATTATTTATTAATTTAAATAATCACTTTATTGCATTTTTAAATTCTCTCTTTATCTTTTATTTATCTTTTAAGTATAAAATATGTAAACACATAAATTATCATTAAATTTTTAATTTATAAAAATTGTAAAAAACTCTAGGAAGTACCATCTTTTAAGTATGAAGTACTATCTCTATCCCTTTTTAGTTACCACATTTTTATGTGACACGATAAAATAGAAAGTTAAAAAAAAAAAAAACTAGTATTGTCCTTTTAAATTTCATTTTTACCGATAAAAAATATAACAAAATTAAATTCATTAAAGCAATGAGAGTAAAATTGAAACAAAGGATTTAATATATGTAAAAGTAGAAAGTGTGATACTAAATACAAACACTCTTATTTAGTAGCATAACTAAAAATGTAAAGAGATAATACTTCTTTAAAAAAAAATCTTAAAAGATTTTCTTTTAAGATGCAAAACCACTTGTTACAAAAATATAGTGGATTATAATATTTTCAAAAATCCCATAAAATCCCATATAATTAGTTATGTCAATAATAAAATCTTAATTATAATCTACTAACTTTTAAATATTCACTTCCATCCAAAAAAAAAAAAAAAAACTTTCAATACCAAGGAGCTGACTTCTCATCTAACAGCTCTTGTTGTGCAGTCTTGACTGCATAACTCTCCTTCCAAAAAAAAAAAAAATCCCTTTAAACATTTCACTGGAGTTTCAAAAATTTTCCTTTCGAATTCTGGGGCAGCTGGCGGTTAAAATTTTCTTCATCTATATCTTTTTCCATTTAGGAAAGAAAGGAATTACCGATTTTGTATTAGTGTACTAAAATTTTTAGATTATTTATAATACTATTAGAGTGATACTAGTATATGTATTTAACTATTAATTATATGATTTAATAGTAAAATTATCTATGCTTTTAATTATAAATTTAGAAATCAATTTCTAATTTCTACATACCAAAATTAGTATATATTTATTTAAAAAATAAAAATTTATTTACATATAAATTTTAAATATTAATCTTCCACAAAACCTTAATTATTTATTTTTTATATTTAATAAATAAGATTTATTTATTTTTTTATCATATTTATTAAAGATAAGAGTAAAAATCTATTTACATATAAGTTTTATACATCGTTTTTACATAAAATCTTAATAATTTATTTTTTTATTTTTAATAAAAAAATTTTATCACTATTTTTTAAATAAAAAATAATTATTTTTAATAAATATAATAAAAAATAAATAAATCCCACCGTGTAAATACGAGGGGCGCGTTGAGCAAAATGTTGCGGTGTTGGTGTTCGACATACATGATGATGCATGCGATGACTCCGAGGCACATGCATGATGCAACATTGCGACAACCTCCCCCCAAAAATTATTTTGTGCGGCGAATTTTTCTTATTTTTTAATTTAGTTGGCACAATAAGTAATTCCTAAAGAGCAGTGCTAGGGGCACTCGCCTCCTGCACTCTCCGGCCAACACTCCCCCTTTGATTGGGCCACGTAAGGTTGTTTAAGCTCTGAATGCAACTTCTCGCGAGCTAAAATAACGTGGTCCAATGAAAAGGGGAGTGTTGGCCGGAGAGTGCAGGAGGCGAGTGCGCCTAGCACTGCTCATTCCTAAAAATTCGAGTTCTTTTCCCTTCGCTGACTCGGCAACAAAAAAGTAGTTGAACTCCATTATCCTTTTTCTAAATCTTGACACGAAACATAACTAGCGTCTTTCCTTAATACTTGAATTAATCGTTAATGATGGTGATTTTCACGTGTTAATAAGTAATCCCTTCACTTTCGGCTTTCCCTTGGTTTGTTCAAGCTCTGGTTTAGTGACCAGACAGAATTTGTTTATGATACGTAAAAAAGATTGTTTCTGATGTCAGGTCTAGTTTGCACCGTGAGAATTTGGCATTTTTCTAAAAAATGATGCTAAATTTGGTAGTTTTTGGGTGCCATGTGCTAGTTTTGTAATGATAAATTTTTTTTAACAATTTTATACATAATCCTAACACCTTATGGGGAGGGAAGAGAGTTATATTGGGAATTCGAATATCAAATTTAGAGTGTTCTCACTTAAAAAAAAATTATAAACCACTTGCTCTAAACTTGTGAAATTAGTTTTGTAATGATAATAAATCAATTATGATTCTATATATGCATGTACGGTTGCTATTTGTTTTTCATTTTTTGTGTTTATTTGATATGTGAATTGATTTTTTTATGATAATTTTTGTTTTCTTGGAGAGTAATTTAAAATTATGATAATTATTCTTCTTTATTTGAGATTCAATTATAATGATAAAAGTTGGTTTAAGAACACTTTAATTATCAAACTTATATATGTGAAAAAAAAAACCATATAACTAATGTAATTTAATTAGGGACCAATATTACTTATTTATTTTATAATTATAATTAAAAATTTTAACATTTTCAACACTAATGGGCATTTATTTTTCAAAACATTTTATTATTATTAAAATAATTGGGATGGGCATGGCTCATGATTCCTCAAGTCGTAAGTGTACACCATAATTTTTTTTATGGTAAGTTAGACCATACTCAATTAATTGAAAACTTTCCGGTTACTAAAGACATTCCAACAAATACAAGAACAATTAAAATTCTCTAAAAAACTGATGACAATTCTCTAGTTAATGGTTACACAGAAATGGGAGAGAGAAAAAGCTTCCTTATTCCCTGAATTAAATCTTGCTTTATTTAAAAAGAAAGGTATGGGAAATCTCAGGAAGAAAAGAATAACTCTCTTGAGAAGCAAGAAGTAAATGGACAAAGTTGACCCCATAATCTTTATGGTGTTCATTGATTCATTGATGAGGACAGCAGTGTCCCATTGTGGAAAGGGAAGCATGGAAGGAATAAGCCAGTGGTGAATGCCAAATTAAAAGTTGTAGGTGCACGTCACTTTAACAAAAACAACTAACTGGATTTTTTTGGAATCTTCACGATATTTGTTAGAAAAGTTAAAGAACAAAATCGTGCGATTTTAACTGCACAACTTAAACTATCAAAATAAAGTGACCCCTAAGTGCAAGAACATTCTCTTAATTCAACAATTCGAATTTTTACAATTCAATCATTATTGCAAAACACCTTATTATTATTCCCGATTGATTCCGGACCTCCTGGTCCGTTTGAAAACGAGGGGCTGCACAGCCGGCAGCTTCTGTTCAAGTTGATATTGGGCCATCAAATCAGTCCATCTTGTCCAGCTTTCAGGTCCATATGTAAAGCCCATAATTGAAGGCGGAGAAAAGCCCACATGTTAATAGGTAGGGCCGTAGGGAGGATAGGAATCGCGAGAAGCAGCCCAAATTATTTTGCGGTCTGCAGATTAGGGTTTTGGCTCGGTGGTCTCGTTTTCCCCAAATCCAGGTAGAAGGAAGCTTAAAACCCAACTCCACCGGTGGAAACATTCCCGAGCTGGAGCAACAATGTCGTTGATGCAACAGTTAGGGCGCACCAAGAATGTGGCGAAGAGGTCGACGAAGAAGTACTTGGAAGGACCGCTTTACGCCTGGCTTTTCAAACAAGGCAGCTCCGAGGTTAGTGTTCGCCAGCAGCTGAATCAGTTCCTCAAGAGCTCCAAGCGCGTCTACAAATGGGAAGTTGGCCAAACTCTCAAAAAGCTTCGAGATCACAAGCTATACCATCCTGCTTTCAAGGTCCATTTACGTTGCATAAATTGTTTACATGGGTTGATTTTGGTTATGGGTTTATCAAGGGTTTTGTGATTGCAGTATTGTGTTGAATTGCATTTAGATTTGTAAGGTTTTTAGGGTTAATGTCATTTAGTCGATCACATAGTCAATATCAATTCTATTCTAGGTAGTGGGATGCACTCTGTAGAATCTTTACCTTTGGTATCGAGTTTAGGTTACTCTAATTGTTCATTTCTTTCAATGAGTCTAATTTTAATCTTTAAAACAGTTCTGAAATATTTGAGCCATTCTGAAATGAGTTTATGAGCCTTAATTAAGTATCAAGTTTGTCTCTTTTTATGAGTAGAAGCTGGATTTCGGATGGTATTTTGATGTGTGAATAGACATTCAGAGTGATTCAATTGAGATATAGCCGGACTTTAGATTTTGTTAGTCTTTGATCTGCTATCTTCTGCCTTGGTTCCCTTTTTCTTTTAAATTTGTAAAACAGTGGCTTCTTTATGCATTTGGCTTTGATGGGTCTGTGTTAGCTATTTTATTAGTTGAATTTAGTATTTAACATTGTGCAAAAACTGAAGCCTTCCTAATTCTTTACTTAATTATAAACTGACTTGGGTTGAGCACAATGCTGTCTGTTTGAAGTTAGTACAATGGCCCCATATATATGTCAAGCATTTATGTTTGTTGTTTTAGTTAGTTCTTCTTGAAACTGGAGGATGCATTTCACTGTATTTTAGTTTGCAGCTGTCAGAAAATATGACTTAAGAC